CACAACACGGAGTCTAGTTTTATATCTTTTAGAAGGCTCCTGCAGAACCACGGTTGTTTAACGTATTCTGCCGTATAGTAAATTATTAAACTGCAAATAACAGTTGACCATGTTTTGAAATATTATTCTTAAAATCATCATCCAACCTCATAGGACATAGCTGCAATGCCAAGTGATGTAGCCTCAACTATCTGGTCTTGAATTATACTTTAAAGTGAAGAAATAACAAGAAAACTATAAGGAATATTCGATCCCTGCTCGGGCAAGCTTTGATTTGCCGATTTGCCGTATTCCGTAGGAAGAATCGCGATAACTTTACCACGTAGCAAATTAATAATAGACTTTCTCTATTCTGGTTTCAACTGAATTTCGAAGCCTAAATGCTTGAAATATAAGAGTCCCCTCGAAGCATTAACAGGTGGTATATTTTCGATACGCGAGCAAAATTATTGTTGATATTTGAGTTAAGCCCGGTTCACATATGCCTGCGGTATGCCTGCGACTGTATCATTATGCCTCTACTTGCCGCCGAATTACCGACAAAGTTGAACTCAAGTCAACTTTCCCGGCCTACCGCCGATGTAACTGTGGCACTGGAGGCAATCGGTGAACAAATATTCACATAATTCACGTTTTAAGTTACCACCGGCATCGTCGCCGGTACGTCGCAGGCACGTCGCAGGCATATATGTAAACCAGGCTTTATGTAATTACTTCCGTTAACGAGATTGACCAATGGGAAGCTTTTCCGAAAATTCTTCGGAGAAGAACAAATTAATCATAGGCATTTGGGCAGGCGTTTATTTAACGACGCCCTCTCTTCTCCCGCCGGCACTAAACGCCTGCTAAGCAGGCTATAACCATCCAAGTTGAATGGTTATGCCGAAGTCACTTAACATTCGACTTATGTTCGACATAAACATTCAACTTAGATGTTTTTCCCGCTGACTATGTTTGAATGGTTATGTATGCCAAAGACAGTCAACGGCGTAACCATCCAAGTTGAATGGTTATGCCGAAGTCACTCAACGGCATAACCATTCAACTTATGTTCGGCATAGACATTTAACTTAGATGTTTTTGCCGTTGAATATGCATGTGTTCGGCATAAACATTCAACTTAGATGTTTTTGCCGTTGAGTATGTTTGAATGGTTATCATGCCGAAGACAGTAAACGGCATAACCATCCAAGTTGAATGGTTATGCCGAAGACAGTCAACGGCATAACCATCCAAGTTGAATGGTTATGCCGAAGACACATGCAGTCAACGGCATAGCCATGATCAACTTATGCGCGGCATAAACATTCAACTTAGATGTTTATGCCGTTGAATATGTACGGCATAAACATTCAACTTAGAAGTTTATGCCGTTGAGTATGTTTGAATGGTTTTGCATGCCGAAGACAGTCAGCGGCATAACTATCCAAGTTGAACGGTTTTCCCGAAGACAGTCAAAGGCATAACCATTCGTCTCATTAACACCGCGCATGCCTCAAGTGCTAACTAACATTGAAGAGTGGACAACCGCTTTCAACACGTACATGTTAATCGTTGTACAAAAATTTCCAAATCGTGCGTCAGAACGGCTTTTACAGTACATGGAAACCATCCGTCATGCGGCAAAAACGCATGGCGGTTTAGGCTGGTGCATATATGACCACAAATTTCGTTATAAGCCGCCGCGTGTCGAACATTGTCGTGGGCCAACATTGATATGCAGTTATGGTTGCGTATTTTCACCGCTAGCTCTACTCAGTTGCGGGAAGATTATTCCCTTTTTTCTAACGGACCTTCAAACAAAGCTGGGACAGCGAGGGACGGAATTTGCCACAGTTACAACAGGGATAGACCTTGCCCATTACGACCCAATTGCCCCTACACTCACCGATGTAACCGAATTGGCTGTGGGGGCACCATCCTGGGTACCAATATCCACAATCCCGTGGTGAAAATGATCACAACGAAGACCACCCTTCACAATCCGCCCGTAGCTCCGCGAAGACCAACAGAAAATAGTACTGTTGGTTTAATTTAAAGTCTAGTACATATAATAGCAGTAATTCAATACCTTTAGACTATACTATAGTTACGCCAATTCGCGTTGACGCGCTGAAGATGCTCTCTATGGGCATCCTGATTCATCATTCGTTTTGAAACTCTGTTCAGACTTGCGTTTCGGTGCTCGTCTCGGTTACGATGGTCCTCGCATGTCCAAATTTTCGACAATCCAACTATTGTTTCAACTAACCTCGCTAAGGAAGTTGCTCTTGGCCACACAGCTGGTCCTTTCACCAATCCTCCATTTACTAATTTACAGGTTTAGCGGTAAGTGAAGGTTGGAGGGGTGGGGGGGGGGGGGAGGTTTGTGAATAAAATAATTCAGGAAATTACATTTTGTTTTGCGCACTGATGCGGCTCCACCTTTGAATTTACTATTATTAATATGAGTACATTGTCAAACACGTCCGAATTTATCAACATGATAAATTCGTGGCACCTAACCCCTCACACTAACCCTAACCCCAACTCTAACCACTAACCCCTAACCCTAATCTAACCTTTTGGAAATTTTTTTGCTTTTTTAACCGTTTTTTAAACTTTTTTAAACTTGTTTTTTGAAATTCATGTTTTTGTAAAAGTTCTCCAAATTTTAGCTATAATTTTTAATTATTGTTACTCGTCTATTTTAGTTTTTCCTTTCCTATCTAACTCATGTTTTGCCCTTGGCTGAAGCAAAAAGGAAGGGAATTTTAATGTATCAAGGTGAAGTTACCCTGAGTAAACCCTCCTATTTTTTTCTAAACCTTTCGCTGGAACTTCGTGAGGACAATACTATTTCCAGTAGGTCGATGGTCGACAAAATATACTGATTCCCCAAAGTCCCAGTCAATAGATATTGTCGGTATTATATACCAAGTGTCAAAGAAAACAAAAAAAACCGAAAAGGAACTGGAAACGTCCACAATTTTTACTTTACAAATTCACGATTTTATTATTCTGCATTGGGGAATAAAAGTAATTATAGCGTCCTCCGCTCAGAGCTGTTCCCATGAGACACTTTCCTGACCGGTTCACGTGACATGCTCTCGTCTAATGAAATGCAAAAACATGACATTTGACACTTGGTATATAATAAATTTATAAATATTAATTAAATAACGACTGCAACGGGTCTGAGTTCAGAATATTCCACGTTTGAAGCGATCAGTTAAATGAATACGACAGGAACGCTATCTCCAGCAACCTCCGACCGGTAATTCGAAGTTAAATATGAAGACCAGTCCCAATCTTTTCACGCATGCAAAGTGCGCGGACAATCCGTCAACATCAATATTTATTCTTGAAAACCGGCTTAAAAATTACAAAAAAGCTTTTTAACAGCGCTTAAAACTTTCTATTGTCGCATTTATTCAGGTAAATAATTCTTGTAGATTTTCTTTTGGTTTTTCCAATAATTGCTTATTCTGAAGAGCAGTATACAGTATGTGTGCCTCGAGAGAAAACACGCGTGTCTTGACCCCAAACCGCGTATCTGGGGGTTAGATTTGGCTTGAATAAGAAGATGGGGAATTTATCTGGAGGTAGCGTTCCTGCAGTCATATTCATTTCACTAGAGGAGATAGATGACAAGCACTAATCATTAGGATATTCTATGGTCAGCCGGTGCAATAGAGTAAATGTTTGGTCCACATGATCGATATCATTCTCGTACCCAGAGCCCTTCTTACGCGCGGTACGACGAGGGGCTCTGGCCAAATCCATAACCGGATACCATAAAAACATGGTAAGAAAACAATGTCCGATGTTAGAACTAGCCAATCAGATGCCAGTTCGGAATATGGATTTGGCCAGAGCCCCTTGTCGCACCGCGCGTAAGAAGGGCTCTGGGTACGAGAATGGATCGATATAGAATCGCAAACATTTGAATAGTTTAAGAATAGTTATATTATAGCGATTTGACATATTCGTTTTCATTATGCCAAATTTTTATTTCATTTTATTTGATGCGATTCGGCCGCGACCGCGATCTAAAAATGCCTGAAAACGGTTGTGAAAGCGCGGATGTAGACTTCACAGTTAATTAAAAAAGAATGTTTAATTTATAAATAGATGTGTTTAAGGTGGCTCGATACAGTTTTCAAAAATTCAGGTGTTCAACACTTTGAAATGTTCAAACTATGCATTTTTAGAATATATTCAGCAGATATTGGGTTTTTTATATATTTCGATATCTCTACATTCAAATGATATTAGTTTTAGTAACAGCTAGTTCGTTGCTATGACGACATACGTGTACAAAATACACTCCAAAATGGCCTATCGTCTCGTATAGTTAGAAAAGAAGCATGGTGACCCCCAATTTTTTTCTTGCATTATTGTACTTGGACGAAAAGCTAACAATTAGCAAAATATAAAAAAATTCTGTAATGCCATTTTTTTGGAAAATGCGAAAATGTCATATTCTTCGGTAAAATTTTTTTGGCATTACAGAATTTTTATATTTTTTGTATAATGAAAGTTTTTAGCGGTACAATACAGCATGCAAAATTTGAACATAGGTCACCAGATAAAATAAAGAGATATAGCGCATTGTTTTTCTAAAATGGAAAATTCTAATGACGTCAGCAATTGACATAAAACGCTATATAGAACACGCGAAATGACGTGAGATGGCGCGAGCAGCTGCTTACGTCAGGTCATTTTGGAAGTTCTGTCATTTTGTTAATCAGTTTCCGCGACCTGCGCGTAAAAATGGTCACCCGGTTTTGAGTTCGCGATTCTTGAGCAGGGTTTTCATGATAACTATATCGAGCCACCTTAAGCTGTAAAACGAAGAGATTTACATAAAAAACAATTTTAAAAATTCAGAGGCGGCAGAAAATCGAGAGGCGGGTGGTGACGCTAACCAAGTTTTTTTTTTATTTGGCCTTATTCTGCGCCCTGTATATAGTATTATATAAATATTGGTAATATTATATAAAACTAAATGAACTTACCTAGGTTCAACAACGAGTTCTGCACTGAAATCAAAATTTCCTTTTAAATTCAATAAACCCCTTTTCGTCTGACTCTTTAGTGGATATAATACAAAAAAAGGATATAATAAAAATTACTCATTTTCTTCCACTCCTAAACTCCTTGCAGTATATTAATAATCATGACTTTGGCCTTTGAACGTGAATATATAATCAGCAAAACGCTACATTAATGGGGGCTTTTACCATAGTTTTAATTCACCATCCTGCTTTCTTTCGTTGACTGAAAAATTAATAACAAATGTTTACTTTGGTACAAATATATCGTCCTCAATTTTACAGATCTCGAAAATCTTGAAATTTAATTAGCGGCCATGTTTGTTTGCAGTTTGTACTTCATCTTATGGGAATATAATGGTTCATGTTCCCAAGGCAGGGCTTTCGCCATTTTTTTTTTTTTGTAACAATAGATTTATTGATACGTAACATTTCAAGCATGCGTCATGCTTATTTTTGTTTTTTTTAAAAATATATTTATTAATTGTTTTATTAATGTCAGTACGTAAGTCCTCAATCAAGTTAATCACGAGGCCGAGGGATCCGTGCCTCGCCAGCCTCAGAAGTTGCCAGGGAGATGTTGGAATCCCCGAATATGGGCCGATGAATCGAGGATCTACTTCCATGAATGCACATTATTGAAGATAGTAACGATGCAAACGACATTCTACATCGTAGCCAACCTATGGCTGCGGAATATTTTTGTTGTCTCTTATTGGATATCATATCCGCAAGACATTTATAAAACGTTTCAGCCTCTCTTCCCATGCCGCCGGTCGTTGATAGAACTAAAGGCGGGCAGGGGGGCAGAGCACCTTCCATCATGCTAGCCTGCGGAGGAAACAGATCTCGTACCCATGTTTTTTTTTTCATGAGTCGATTCAAGTATAGGTGTTTCTTTCGAAAGCATATATTAGCACAATGAGATATAAGGCTGAAATCCACTAAGAGGCTCTCCCAAGAAAAATTGAATATTTAGGCCCTCAGAAAGTCCTGTAAGGCAACTAAAATAAATAGGCATAAGAGTTCGATCAGTGACCCCTGAGTGACGCGACCTAATTAGTTAACTGTTCTTAATACCATGTTTTCCGTATTTAAGTAGTTAAAACATAGTTGGAACACTCATCAAACTTTTATATTAAACCTTTATTCTCCAGTCGTTGATCCCTCCCGTAACAACGCGTGATTCTCATCAACTCTCATCTTCGTTTGACTGAGGCTTTAGCTTGCGTTCACTTTTAACTTCCAATCAATAATGCGTCAATAATGTTCTGATAATTTACCTGAAAATTAAGTCAGCTTAATTAAGTCATCCCAAAATTTAACTGAAATTACACACACCCGTCCATGCTCATGGACGGTATCTTTCCGAGGGGCACTTTTGGATATTGAAAAGGGTACCTAAAAAATTTCATCCGGAAATGTTGGCGACGGTGGAGCGAGGGGGGGGGGGGTAAAGGGAAGAAAAATTTTCCCGTCATACCATACCGAAATTGCACGTTTTTGACCATTTTTTTAAAAACCGTGCGTTTTTCACGCCTATGCCAATTAAGACAAGCAAGGGAAAAGGCGCGCGAAATGCTGACGGAAGCAGGAGCATATGAACAATCAGACAGATTCATGACAAGCGTTTAACCCTTTGAGTGGCATCTTACAGTCAATAAAGATTGTTCATGTATTGCCAGTCAATTTTACTTGTCAGGTACTGTGATCGAGGCGGTCACTTTAACAATTTGTGGTGAACAGATGCAGACAGTGACATGCGGGTACACGTTGATTTTGCGGCCGAAACTTTCATGCGCCTGCGTTTGTCTAACAATATGCGCGCACATGCTAATTTGAATGCATTAGCCGATGCATACTTGGGTTGTGCTGTTACATCGCAAAACTATTCAAAATTACGTGTCCGCGCATACTGGCAGGCAAATTTACATAAAATTCGTAATCAAAGTTTATTGACCCGTCTATAGGCCTTCTAGAGAATGCATGATTTTATATCAATCAAACCTGTATTCTTTTATGTACCCAAATGACAAATGAGGTATATATTCAACATATACTCCATAGGTCCATGTAAGAAACTTGAATATATCATGCAAAATGAATTTATGCTCACCAGCCCTATCGGTAAAATGTTTGATGATCAGACATTCAGGATTAAGTTTCAGCAAACTAATTTTAAGTACGGTTCAAAACAAAGCCTGATGCTCTTGTTGTTTTCAATCAATTTGTTTTATGACGTTAATAATTCGATCAACAATTCAAGTTTCATCCACCTTGGATATAGCGCGGGGGAGTTTAACATCTGCCGCTTGAACTTGGCCGCCATGCTTTATTTGCCAACATTTCGCTTATAAACATAAGCAACCTCAAATACAAGGCGAATTAAACCTCAAAATAATTCAATGTTTTCGTACTGAAAGGTTTCATATTCATACTATTTTCATATTACTAAACTTTTATTACTTAATTACATGCAACTTTTATTGAAAATGTGCATACCGTATTTCTCGTTTAATTAATTAATTAAGCGCCGCGGTACCGCATTTACTCGTTTAAGCGCCTCGGTGCGCTCTAATGCGGTTCTTATATCTGGGGACGGCGCTCTTTATAAAATATTTCATTTGTAAGCAATAACAAGAAATATTAACAACAAAATATAACATAACAACACTGAAATGCAGGAGGAAAATAGTTTCGAGGTTTGTTAAAATTGCAACCTCGTACCCAAGGCTTTTTCCTGCCACCGTAGGGGGTCACGAACAATTTTTCAGATGATGCTTCAACAGACAACTTGCATATTAGACTCACGCCCGTATTCTAAAAGCTCACTCACACTCACACTCAATGAGTGGAAGTTCAATCTGAGCTTCTCTCGAGTGTCATTGCTGTTTTTGAGTAGCTGGAGGGCTAGTGTCGTACCTTACTACGTGTGACTACTCACCCTCCAGCTATTCAACTAAACAGCATTGGCACTCAAGAGAAGCCCAGATTGAACATCCACTCATTGACTAGTGTGAGTGTGAGTGAGCTTTTAGAATAAGGGCGTAATTTTTTATCTATAGGCAAAAAAAAGTAAATTCATATAAAGAACTTATTCTTTGAAAATTAGTGAAATTGCAAAATGTAGTCAAGAAATGTTGTAAAATACGGAAAATATGGCCTTTGCGAAGTTTGCATATTTTGAATATGTTTGTATTACGTGCGGGAATTGTTACCATATGTTTGAGCCGAAAATGATGACAATTTCACGTAATATACAAACAGCTAGATACAAAATTTGCAAACTTTGCAAGACTATATTTTGCGAGCTTTACAACTGTTACATTTCGCAACCAAATTTTGCCATTTTACTAATTTCATTATGTTCTTTTTAGTTGTGGTGTTTGATTCCCTTCTCTTTACTTAGATTAAAATTTAGTCTAACGTGCAAGTTGTCCATTAAGCGACGCGTTGTTGTGTATAATTATAAGGTAAATTTCCTCTTAATAATTAATAATTTTCATGATCAGAATAATTTCTCCAAGACTCCAACTACAGTAGAGTGAAGTATATAGGCAACAGCTAGCCTCCATGGTGTCTGATGTTTAGACCATCGTTTATGCTTTTTCATAGTTTTTTAAGTAACACGATATATAATATATTAAGCTTTTTTATTAATCTTAAATATAGAAAGCTGCCTAATTTGCGATTCATTATTGCTTATATATCGATCACTCTGCCAGGCCTCGAATTTCCCTGAAATCAATCGACGGCAATGGCGTTAAAAATTGCCGTAGAACGTAACAGCTGCCTACGGCAATTTTGACAGTTTCTACGGCATTTTTCAAATTACTGTAATAAAACTTGAATTTTATTGTTACTTTGGATTTTTGACAAGCTGGAAACATGTCTACGTATTTCTTTAGTGTTTTTTTTTCGAAGAAAACTGAGACTAAAATAGTGATTTACGCATGATTTGATCAACATCTGAATTCAAGTATCAAAATAGTAATGCACAGTGAATAGTATAAAAATTGCACTATACGGCAAAAAATTGCCGTCGTTGCCACAATGATCCACGGCATTTTGTTCTCCCTCTAAGGCAATTGCCGCGATAAAATTCGAGCCCTGCACTCTACTGTATATTTAAAAGCGACTTAAACTGTTTGTAATTATATATTTAATATTTGCACCTAATTCCTAAATTAAATTAAATTAAA